CTCAACATCACTCTTCCCTCGCGAGCAGTCGTACCTCACCAAGCTGCCTCAGACAACTTTCTGAGATGTGTGTGTGTAGAGGGGAGTGCCTCTGGCGTGGCCCCTACATCATTCCCTATTCATATCTTGGAACCCCCTACCCACCCGGGGCCGGCTCTCCTATTGCAGCCCACTTTTCTCTTCCCCCTTTCGGGACTTTCGCTCCCACCTAAGCGCCCCGCCCCCCCTTCCCTACACTGTAAGTGCTTCCTCCCTTGCTGATTGCATGTCCCTGGCCCCTCGAGAGCCCCGATTTTTGAACGCACCTCCTTCTGTTTGGGATCTTGAGGGTACACATCGGGAGGCCCCAGTCGCGGCCGCTTCAAGGGCCGGTGTTCGTAGCTCAAGATCCCGAAGGCCGCCATCTTGCCCAGCCCGGAGCGCTAGGGGCGCCAGCTGGGCCAGGCTGAGGAGGGCGGGGGAAGGGGGAGAGAGAGCCGAAAAGGGGGGCGGCGGTTGGGAGGACGACCGCTGAGAGACAAGGGGGAACGTTAGAAACTCTCGATCATTGCCGGAAACTAACGACGAAAGCCGGCGGACGCCGGGAAACATCAAGACAGCACCACCCGCAGAAGGGGCGGAGCCTGGCTGGGTGTGGGGCGGAGCGCTGCGCCCGGGAGCTTTTCAGCCCTGGCGGCGGACAGTCAATTTCACTGAGCAAAACTCAGTAAAACGGCCGTGAGCTGTGTACCGTGCTGGGGTGCGAACCTGAAGGCAGAGGAAGCGTGGTGCTGAGCTCTGACTGGAATTGCGTTCCCAGCGCCTAGCTCGCTTTTGGCCTAAGTAGGTGTTCGATAGATTTGCATTGGTTAGGAACTCTAACTTTTACAGACCACTTCGTATTTTAGTTTGAGCTTCTGAAAAACGGGTGTGCTAATACTTCCTCTAAAGGACTATTGTGAGGTTTAGAAACTATATATGCATAAGAAAACACCTATTAAACCCTGGAAGGCTGGCTCTAATCCCTCAAGGTCTTTCTGGTGTAGAACGGAGGTTCCTAACCATTTTTGATTCACAAACCCTTTAAGATGCTGATGAAAGCTGTAGCCCTTCTTCCCAGAAAAATGCACATATAAACATACAAAATGTTAGATACTTTCCAGGAAGATTCTTAGACCCCCTGAAGCTCATCCATCTGTCCTCTAAGTGTCTGTGAACTAATTCCAAGTTATGAACCCTTGCTCTAGAGTAAGAGGCACCTACAATGTCGGATGCTTTTCAGACATTATCTCCTTTAATCCGCAAACAGCCCCTTGAGTTAAGAATTATTATTGCCTCCATTTCGTGGATGAGGAAGCTGATTTTCAAAGAGTGAAAATTCATTTGCCCAATATTATACAGCTTCTAAGTAACAGCTGGGACTAGGATTCTTCCTTGATTCCAGAGATAACATGTTTCTATTATGGTATTGCCTTTTAGAGAAAAGACAGCCAGAGTGCTACGATAAAGGTAACAACAAGAAACAAAAACAACAGAAGTAACAAATAAAAATAGCAACAGCAAAATGCTGTTGAATTCCAATGGGAAGAAAAATTCATTCTGATTGGGGAGAGAAAAACATATTGGGGGAGGTAATGTTTGAGCTAACCCTGAAGGATTTTTTTTTTTTTATAAAAAAGGTTTAATGTTTTTAGAGCAGTTTTAGGTTCACAGCAAAATTGAGAAGCAAGTACAGAGATTTCCCATATACTCCCTACCCCAACACATGCATAACCTCCCCCCTTATCAACATCCCCAACCAGAATGGTACATTTGTTACAGCTGATGAAACTACATTGACGCATCATTATCACCTAAAGTTCCTAGTTTACATTAGGGTTCACTCTTGGTGGTGTACATTCCATGGGTTTGGGCAAATATATGACATATATCTACCATTATAGCATCATACTACATGCCTAAAAAACACATTATACTGCCCTAAAAACCCTCTGTGCTCCACCTATTCATTCCTCCCTCCCTCCTAACTCCGGGTGACCACTGAACTTTTTACTGTCTCCATAGTTTTGCCTTTTCCAGAATGTCATATAGTTTGGAATCATACAATATATGGCCTTTTCAGATTGGCTTCTTTCACTTAGTAATATGCATTTAAGTCTCCTCCATGTCTCTTCATGGCTTGATAGCTCATTTATTTTTAGTGCTGAGTAATATTCCATTGTAAGGATGTTCCACGGTTTTGTTTGTTTGTTTGTTTGTTTGTTTTATCCATTCACCTACTGAAGGACATCTTGGTTGCTTTCAAGTTTTGGCAATTATGAATAAAACTGCTGTAAACATCTGTGTGCAGGTTTTTATGCGGACATAAGTTTTCAGCTCCTTTGAGTAAATACCAGAGTGTGATTACTGGATCATATAAGACTATGTTTAGTTTTGTAAGAAACTGCCAAACTGTCTTCCAAAGTGGCTGTACTATTTTGCATCCCCACCAGCAATGAATGACAGTTCCTGTTGTTCCACATCCTTGCCAGCATTTGATGTCAGTGTTAGAATTTTGGCCATTCTAATAGGTGTGTATCCCTGAAGGATTTACCCACAGAAAGTTAGGGAGAGGCTAATTCCAGTCAGAGAGTAAGTGCATCTGACGTATTATCCAGTGTGGCCGGAATTGATGACTGGAGCTTGGACCGTATTCTGAAGACTATGAGTAGCTTTTGAAGACTTTTAAGTTGGAGAATGCCCTCTGTTGTGGGTTGAATGATGGACTTCCAAAAGATATGTCCACTCGGAACCTGTGAATGTGAACTTCTTTGGCAAAAGGGTCTTGACAGCTGTAATTAAGGCAAGCATCTCCAGGTGAGAACATTCTGGATTAGGGGAGCACTAAATCCAATGACAAGTGCCCTTATAAGAGAAGAGAAGGGTAAAGGAGATGCAGAGAAGAGGTGATGTGAAGACAAAGGCAGAGATTACAGCAATGTGTCTACAAACCAAGGAATGCCAAGGATTGACAGCAGCCAGCAGAAGTTAGGAGAGAGACATGGAACAACTTCTTCCTCAGAGCCTCCAGAAGGAACCAACCCTGGCAACACCTTGATTTCAGATTTCTGGCCTGCAGAACTGTGAGAGAATAAATTTCTGTTGTTTTAAGCCAACCAATTTCGGGTAATTTGTTACAGCAGCCCTAGCAAACTAATACACTCTGGACCTTATAATCCAGTTTCCCTGAGATGCCCAATCAAGTGCTCTTTTCCTCTGCCTGATGTCCTACCCCCCTTCCATCTGGTAAAATTACATTCATTCTTTAAGATTCTGCTCAAATAGTACCTCTTCAGGAAAGCCTTACCTGAACTACCCCCCTCTCCATCTCAGTAAATTTAGTTACTTCCTATTCTGTCTTCACATTATGTTGTAGTATCTCCACATATGTGCTATCAAACTTATTACACTATATTGTATTATTTGTTTATGTCTTCCCCACTTATCTATGAGTTTCTAGAAGGATTAGGATGTCTTATTTGTCTGAATATTCCCAGAACATAAGCACAGTGCCTGGCACATATTAAAGACTCAAATGTTTGCTGAATAAACAATTTCTGTAAATAGTTTCTCCAGTAGGTTCTGTGTTTTGGGGAAGGTAAATCTGGCAACAGGATGAAGGACAGACTAGAAAGCAGAAGGCCTTTAGAAAGGGAGACCAGTTAGTGAGTTTAGTGATAATCATGACTAGAGGTAATGAAAGGATGATTTAGCACAGTGGCTGTGGTAATGAAAAGGAGGAAACTGCTAGGAGAGACACCACAGAAGCAGAGCTGATTGGATTCTCAGGGTAAGAAAGAGGCAGGAATTGAAGATTCTGAGATTTCAAGTCTGGGTGACTGAGATGGTGATGATCCTATTAGCTGAGCTAGGGAAGACAAGAAGTTTAAAGCTAGTATTCTTGTTCCTCCATTTCCAGAATCTTCTTCTAGGTCAGACCTCTTCACCAATCTCAACAGGGACCCAGCCCACGCAGCAGTTAAAGGTGGGTATTCTGGTTTGGATTAACTCAGAGGAAAGACAGTTATATATGTGCCCATAGGAGCCAACACAGTATTTTCCACCTTCCCAAGACAGTAGGGCTTTGACAGAAGTTTAAAGGGTGACTGAGGGCCGGCCCGGTGGCGCACTGCGATAGTGCGCCGCTTGGGAAGCGCGGCTGCGCTCCCGCCGAGGGTTCAGATCCCACATACAGACCGGTTCCCGCTCACTGGCTGAGCGAGGCGCGGGGGCAACGCCGAGGGTTGTGATCCCGTTGCCGGTCCCGGTCCGGTACGGGGGCGACACTGAGGGTTGCGATCCGTTGCCGGACACGGAAAAAGACAAAAAAATAAATAAATAAATAAATAAATAAATAAATAAATAAATAAATAAATAAATAAATAAATAAATAAATAAATAAATAAATAAATAAATAAATAAATAAATAAATAAATAAATAAATAAATAAATAAATAAATAAATAAATAAATAAATAAATAAATAAATAAATAAATAAATAAATAAATAAATAAATAAATAAATAAATAAATAAATAAATAAATAAATAAATAAATAAATAAATAAATAAATAAATAAATAAATAAATAAATAAACACGGAAAAAGACAAAAAAATAAATAAATAAATAAATAAATAAATAAATAAATAAATAAAGGGTGACTGAGCCAAGGAAAGAACACAGCATGGGGGTGGGGGGAAGGTTCAAACCTTTCACTATATAAGATAATGATTTAGAGGAGAAGGTGGTTGGGAATGGTGGTAGTGGAGGTGAATAGATCTTTCCCGGAATCTACGTGGTCTGAGGATTCTTGAGTCTGTGACACTGTTGTATACCCAGCCTTAGTCTCTGCTTAACACCACCTTACAGCAGCACCTAATCTCCTAGAGGACTTAGCCTGTGTCACAGTACACGTTTGTCACACCCTCTGTAAAGCCCTGGTTTCTAAGGTTCTTTCCACCGGAACTTATGACAGAAGGAAATGTGTGGGTGGGGGATGGTGGGTGAGGGGCCCAGGTTCCTGACACAGACAACACCCAGGAAACGAAGAGCAAGCACCATGTTGAAGCCAGCATTGCCACTCAGATCCTTCTTATTTCTGCAGCTGCCTCTGCTGGGGGTGGGGCTGAACCCAAAGGTCCTCACGCCCAACGGGAATGGAGATACCACAGCTGGTAGGAAATCTGGAACTGGAGGGGGTTGGTGAAATGGGAGGCTGTGGGAAGGGGCCATGCAGAAACCCAGAACCTGCCAGGGGCCATTACAATAATGCCGGGCAGAACTGAATAATAGGGTAGGGAGGGCAAGGGGAAGGGTTCCCTGCCTCATGCCGCACCTTCTTCTTCTCTTTCCCTCCCCCACTTCATTTTCGTCCCAACCTAGACTTCTTCCTGACCTCTACGCCTCCTGGGTCCCTCAGTGTTTCCACTCTGCCTCTCCCAGAGGTTCAGTGTTTTGTGTTCAATGTCGAGTACATGAATTGCACTTGGAACAGCAGCTCTGAGCCCCACCCTACCAACCTGACTCTGCGCTATTGGTATGAGAAGGGAAGAGGGGGTAGCACGGGGGAGGAAGGGGAGGTGAGCTGGATCAGAGAGACCTCATGGGAACCAAGAAAGAGGGTAATCAGCCTCCCAGGCACCCCACTATTTTCTCATGGGGGAAGTCATAGCTCAGTTCAGGGGAGATGAGGCTGGGCTGCGGATATCTGCAGTACTCAAAGTTGCCCCACTGTTCTTCCTTCCAACCCTTCTCTAGGTACAAGAACTCTGGTAATGATAAAGTCCAGGAGTGTGGCCACTATCTATTCTCTGAAGAGATCACTTCTGGCTGTTGGTTGCAAAAAAAGGAGATCCATCTCTACCAAACATTTGTTGTCCAGCTCCAGGACCCACGGGAACACAGGAGGCAGGCCACAAGGATGCTAAAACTGCAGAATTTGGGTAATTTGGAAAGAAGGGGTCAAGAGCCCAGGGATATTGTGGGGCATTGGAGTCTATGGCATGGTGCTCTTTTACTGTCAGGGTACATGGGCAGAAAGGAGGAGGTAGGGGATCAGGATGGGGAAGGGAGGAGGAATAAGGGGCAATACCTTCAGGATCCTGACTTGTCTAGGCCAGGGGAATGACCACTCATGCACACATATCTTCAGTGATCCCCTGGGCTCCGGAGAATCTAACACTTCACAACCTGAGTGAATCTCAGCTAGAACTGAGCTGGGACAACAGATACGTGGCCCACTGTTTGGAGCACCTGGTGCAGTACCGAAGTGACCGGGACCACAGCTGGACTGTGAGTGACTGGGGACATGAATGTAGCAGCTAAGGCCAAGCAAGTGAGGATAAAGGATTCAATCAGCCAGATAGGAATACCCAAATCAAGCTCCTGTTCTCTGCCTCCCAGTCCCTCTGCCCAACCCCCACCCTCCTCCAACTCCTTTCCTTATCATCACCAGTGAGCTTTCATTAACGTTTCCCTACCCATATTCTTCCTGATACAAGATAGAGAAGTAAACAGAAGGAAGCTGTTGTGGGGATCTGGAGGGGTGGCATTAGATTCAAGTCAGTGAAGGGAGCAGTGTGGCGTGAATAGTCAAGAGAGGAGAGAAGAACTGGGAAGAACCAGGAGATGACACTGGAGTGGGCAGAAGTATGTTTTAATTCTTCTTTCTTTCATAGACACCCAGCTCTCCCCCACCCTCTTTCTCCCCAAGGAGCAAACAGTGGATCACAGACATAGCTTCTCCCTGCCTAGCGTGGATGTGCAGAAACTCTATACGTTCCGTGTTCGGAGCCGCTTTAACCCGCTATGTGGAAGTGCTCAGCACTGGAGTGAATGGAGCCACCCAATCCACTGGGGAAGCAATACTTCAAAGGGTAAAATAGGCCTAATACATACCCCCAGTTCATGAGCCCAACACCCCAACCTTTCCAACACCACTGTCTTTTGCTCTACCTCCCTATCCCTAAGCCCCCAAATTTGGTGTCCCCATCTCCCCTCACTGTTCAACCTCAACCCAGGAAGTAGGGATTTTCTGTGTAGGGCTGTTAGAGTAGGGGAGAAGATTAGGAGGCTGAGGTGTGTTCATGGGGAATATAGAATGTATAAGATTTCCCTACAGCATTCCCAGAGAGCCTCCATAGTGAAGATGGCTTTGGAACCAGACAGGTCTAAGCTCTACCTCTTTGGCCTCAGGCACATCACTAACCTCTTCAATTCTGTTTTCTCATCTGTAAAATGGAGATAATTGTTCCTCCCTCTTAGGAGCTGTTGTGAGAATTAAGTATAGGGAATCTGGTTAGCACGGTGCTTGGCACCAAGTTGGGGCTCTACTCATACATGTTGGCACATGGTAGGTGTGCCACAAATGTAAGGTACATTTTCCTTTCCTTTTTTCTATAGAGAATCCTTTGTTTGCTTTGGAAGCTGTGCTTATCCCCATTGGCTCCATGGGATTGATTATTAGCCTCATCTGTGTGTATTGCTGGCTGGAACGGTAAGATTTTGGGAAGTCCAGAAAAATGAGGTGGGGTGGCTGGAAATAGTAGAGGAGGGTTATTGCAGGGTCTCCAGGAGTAGAAGTGGGACAGTAATGAAGAAGGGGATCACCCAAGAGGGCATAATGATGCGAGGAAGCTACAGGCACAGAGAACACAGAATCACTTCATCCATATGCGACAACTGTGAGAAGGGTAATAAAAGAGCTTTAACCTACGTGCTCCTACTCCCTTTTTCTCCCCACTCAGAATGATGCCCCGAATTCCCACTCTCAAGAACCTAGAGGATCTGGTTACTGAATACCATGGAAACTTTTCGGTGAGAACGCTGTCATAAGCATACTATAGTCTGTCAATTCTCAACTGCCTGCCAGCAAGACTAACATACTTGGTGGGGGGGAGCAGATAGAAGGGGGAAGGGGAGGAGGGGCCTGCACTAACTGTCAGGATGTGGCCGACCAAATGGGGGATGGGCTAGACAGAGAGAGACACACAGATGAATGGATTAGAGATGGGCTAGGCAGATGGAAACACTGGTATTGGGGTCGCAGGAGTCTATGTGTCCCTTCTGTAATCACAGTGGTTGCAGACATCATGAGAGCCCCTTTGTCACAGAGCCTGGGTCTTTTACTTCCTGCCCCTAATTGACCTCTGACCTGGAGATATCTGTCTTTAGGCCTGGAGTGGTGTCTCTAAGGGATTGGCGGAGAGTCTGCAGCCAGACTACAGTGAACGGCTCTGCCACGTCAGTGAGATTCCCCCCAAAGGAGGGGAAGGGCCTGGAGGCTCCCCTGGCAGCCAACATAGCCCCCACTGTACCCCCTATATTACACCCTGAAGCCTGAAACCTGAGCCCCAATCCTCTGACAGCCCCAGAGTCTTGTAGCCCTAAGTAGTACTAACTTCCCCTCATCCAACCAGTCTGGGTCCGATGCTCACTTTGCCCTCCTGTGGCTGATTTTGAATTTGGAGCCCCTTGCAACCACCCCTTCATTCAGTATCCCCTACTTGAGAATTGCCCCTTTGCTCTGAACGTGTTTCTCATCTTCCCCAGTCCAGCCCTTCCTTTTCATAGGATTCTCTCTCTCCATCCCTCCATCCCTCCCTCTCTCTTTTCATTTACCTTTCAATATTATTCCTGAATCAATGAGAAATAAAGTTTCTGTTGATAATCATCAAGAATGTCTGTCATGGGTGTGCGGAGCGGGGAAACATGGGGTGCAATGAGGGTGGGAGGCATAATGCTGAAGGTAGGAAAAGGAGTAGTAGACTCATGCTGTGGAAGCAGTAGAACTGTAAATTAACTAGAAAAGAGTACTGTCCCAGAAACTTACTTTTGTCCGGGTATCCTGCACTCATTCCAGGGTCCCATTTAGAGTTAGATTTACCACGTTGCCCCCATTCCCAACAAGTCTTTTACAGATCCTACTCAAGTTCTTCTCTCCTTATCCTTACTCTACCTTCTGCCACATGCACCACTTTTGACCTCATAATCCCTCAACTGCAGCCTCAGACCCCACCCCTAGGGATGCTGGTTATCCACAACTGCCAATAGCTCTCCCCTGTCTGCCCATCTGGGCCTCCTCAGCCAATGAGATCTATCTGCTTCTCCAGTCCCCCAACCCTATGGGCCCACTTGGCACTGTAGAACACACTCCTTCTGCACGACTCATCAGAATGTTCTCTGAAGAGTGACAGGATCTTGAGAGCATGTTCATCTTTATCAAACATGGAGGTGAGGGGCATCACAGAGCTGGGGTCTGTGTCTGGGGGTGAGGAGGTTTGAGAGCAGTGGAGATCACAGAGATGGTATAACTAGAGAAGGGCCCACATGCCCCATCCCATCTCTCCTCAGATAATCAGCAGTTTCTGGTCAATAGCAATTGCTCTGTCCTCGTGATGCTGCATTACATCCGCAGTAAAGTGGGGTTGTCTAAAACAGGTGAGGAGTTTGGGGAGGGGGCTAATGGCCAAAAGTCACAAGTAGTAGGATTATTTCTAGCCCCAAAACCCTCCTCCTGGCAAAAAGGGAGTTCCTCGTATACTTGCAGCTTCTCCAACCTATTCTGTATAGGATCACTGGCTCCTTTTGCTCCCACTCTCTTTTTTTAGCTGTCCCAATTACCCTGTGGCCTCTCTCCAGACACCATCGATTTGTGTGATGAAATGGGGACAATGAAGCTGCTTTTCCTGCTGAAGACCCCTAGAGAGTATGCCAGCAAATTCCTTACGGCTCGAAGTACCTACTACGTTTGTAGGGTGGAGCGTGGGCCACCAGGTAGAGGCTTGGTAACATTTCCCAGAGACAGAGCAGGGCCCTCAAAATAGGTTGCAAACCTCGTCCTTAAAATTGGGCCCTTCAACCAGATCCAGATTTCTAGTCAGTCTAAGGAAGGGCACTGTCTCTATAACAGTAGGTTAGGTTCATACATACTATGTCCCCCCACCTCATCCTAGGGTCCATAACTCACCCTTAGGTCCATAACTAAGGGGGGGAATGAGGTACATCAGCTCAAGGTAGTGTTTAGTGTTAGGTTGCTGAAATCTCGGGCTACCAAAGGGTGGAGGCTGGGTAATAGGGGCTGGAGATAATACATTGCTATGTTCACAGGAACCCGAATTGAGAATGCCTACAAAGCTTTTGTGCCCCTGCTGAAGAAACCAGAGCCCGCACTAATTGGTAAGGAGTGTGATGGGGGAGGGAAGAACATGGAGAGTACTGTACACAGCTATGTGATGGAGAATACGGGGTGGGACTAGTGTAATACTGTAAGTAGGGTCATATGAGCCTAGGAAAAGGGGGACAGGGTATAGGTCCACTTTAGGAGGGATGGAGCCAGGTGGAGCATACATGTGTCACTCCCTCCTCCCCCCATTCCTCCACCATCCTGTAGGCATATCTCCTTATCACCACCCCATCATTTCCATCTTTGGCCAGATTACTCCAATTGATCATTTGAATTATGGGAAGGTCAGGATGGGTAAGGTCTTTAGTCCTCAAACGTGCAGGTGCCTTTTCCTGGTTCCTAGATGCGCTGCGCATACAATGTGACCTCCTGGAGAAGAGCAGATTGAAGATGCTTAGAAGCCAAGAAGCCAAGAAGGCCGTTGCAGTTGAGTCCTCCGCGAATCTCCCAGTAAGACTTCTCAAATGTGGTCTGCCCCAGCACCCCCTTCTCCCCACCAGACAACTGGAGTTTCCCCTATCCTGGCCCTCTGGGATGAATTTCCTTTCCAAATCCAACATCTATACCCAAGACCTGCCTCCAACCTCTTTTGCCCTTCTTTTGGCCCTAGTTTGTAAAAACCTTCCCTCCAGGGGCCTCTTTGTTTATCTACTTACTTTCCCTTTCTAGAACAAATCATCACGACGATCAGATGAGCGGGCCACTCGGACCACCCGGTTCACCCGGCTCACCCGACCCACTCGGCCCACTCGGCCCACTCGGCCCACTCGCAGAGGTCTGTTCTTTAAGACCAGAGCAGACTTTCTCGGTAGGAGGGATAGACATCGCTAACTCAATAAAGTGACCAAGTGAGAGCAGTAATACTAAATATGAAATTACTGGAATTTAATGTAAGACTCCTTTTCCTAGGAAGACAACTTCTCCCAATATCTGTACTGAGGCTTAAGTATGCCACAGGCACCGTGGAGGCTCTGAGGGTGGATGGCAGCTACAGGAGAGAGCTGGGGTGAGCACATGGGTGGGGGTGAGAAAAGATGGTGAAGTCTAGTACAATGAGCCTTTGAGGGACGGGGTAGGAGGTGGGGTCTTCTCAAACCAGACTACCTCCCCTTGAGAGGCCTATCTCACAGCCCGCCTACTGCTGGGGTTAGGTGTCCCTCCCTCACCACACTTCACCACCTCCCTGGGCCTAAATTCCCCCACCCCCCCACCTCTCTGCCTCTGGGTAGTCCCTCCCACCTGCCTGTCCTTGGCCTTTCCTCCTCCCTGCCCCTTATCCGAGGGGAGCAGCAAGGCAGCAGAGACTACAGCTGGTTATAGGCATTTATTGAATTTACTCATTTATTGATTTGACACACTTCCCCACTCCAATCTAGCACATGATACAATCTGGGTAGGCCAGGCGCTGACACAGGAAATGATGGGAACCCACAACAGGGGTGGGGGAGGGGACAGTGCAAAGGGCACTGGGGGAGGGGCTGTTTTGGGGACTGGGTTGGAGGAGACCCAGATGGCTTCCCTGGCAGGTGCTAGTAAACCTGATCCACATTCCCCCCCATCCCTGCTCATTTCCCAGACCCTGAGCCAAGCTCCCCAGCTCCCCCTTCTGTGTTCCTCCCCTCCCCCTGCCTGCTACCACACACACTTCCACATAACCCCAGTAGTCAGGGAAGGGGAAGAAGGGCAGGGACAGCTGTCAGGGGCCTTGAACAGGGAGGTCTCTGTACCTAAGTTTACCACCCTAAATCCTTTCCTCCTTGCCTTCTCCCCGCTCCCTCCCCGCCTTTCCAGGCCCCAAGCAAATTCCAGGCCTTCAGTGCACTCTCCCACCATAGCATTAACCCACACTGGTTCATACGGGAGTGTGGCTGCACCCCAACACCACACATTCCCAGGCATAATGAGGGAATCCGGCTTAGCTTTTTCCTTAGGAAAACTCCAACTTATTTAAACATAGACCTTTTTCTAGACCTGGTCCAAATGGGACCTCTTCCCCTTGTACGCTATTGCTTCCTACCTCTCCCTACTTCCCTGTGTCTCCCCTAGCATTGTTTGTAGTGTTTGTATCATGTCACTAAGACAAAGCCTTCAGAAAGAAAAAAGCATTCTCCCCATCACTAACGACTTGCTGCTGTTAAAAATCTCTATATCTGTGTTTATATTTCTTTAAAAGATTATAAAAAGCTTCTCTGTTATCTGCAGTCTTCTGAGGGTGATTCGGCCTGGTGAGCCATTCCAATGCTCAGACCTTGGCCCTTCCATGTGCCCTATACCCCCCACCCAACTCATACCACTGGCCTAAGGGCCGCTGCATAAAAATCCCAGGCTCAACCTAGCCTAGCCCAGCTCAGGTAAGACACTCTACAAAAAATCCTGCTCCCAAAGGCAGGGGTAAGGCCACTGGTGACTTCAGATTTCCAACAGCATTTCCTGCCCCCACGACAAAGCCTAGGGGGTGAGAATGGGGGGAGCCAAGGACGGCTCCTGAGAGGGGGCCTTACCCCCTAATTGGCACAGTGAGAATGAACCCTGTCCTTTTCCCCCCTCCTGTCTCCCTCCCCCCTTAGTCCTCATATGGGGCAGCTTTATCTTTATAATTTCCTTGATATCCATGTGTAACCAGATCCCACCCTAGCTCTAAAGCAGGGTCCCAAATTCCTGGGGAGGGCTCAAGGGTAAAGAGTGGATATGGGCACGCCTGGCTCCACCTCTGAAGCAGGGGACAAAGCTTCCAGCCATGACTCATCAGGGATCTGTAGGAAGAAGAAATTGGAGGACAAGGTAAGAGGCTTATCTGAGACATGCCAACTTTCCACCATCGAGACTCACATCAAGGGAAAGAGACACCACGCCCCGCCCCCCACCTTGCCCCGCACACACACATACCTCTTGTAGGGGTGGGCACTGCCAAGGGGCCTGGAGGTCCCATCTGGAAACTATATCACTCTGATATGACATCCTCCCTCCATTTCCACAGGTGCTCTAGCTACCCCTTGTTCTAAATATCCCCCTTGCTCATATCATGGACTAGCTGGGCACCTATGAGTGGACACAGGTTATGAGATGATACAGTGATTTGGGAGTGTTGTACCTGGCTCAAAGTTGAAGTCCAGTCCCTCGCCTCCATCCATGAGGTCACTGATGATGTTATCCATGTCACATTCCAGGTTCTCCATATACATGTCAAGATCTAGATCTTGAGGCATTCTGTCTTGGCTTGCAGCTTCAGTAGGGGGTGTGAGCACAGGAGTCCCCAAGGCCTTGGGGATAGGGGCACCCATCATGACTGGAGATGGTGCTATCATAGAAAGGGTGGGAACCAGACTGCTGGGGCCTGGAGCCTCTAGGGGCTTGGGACATAGGCCAACTCCTGTTGCCAGTTTACTGGAGGAAGGTATCCCCCCCAGCAACAAAAGTGTTGGAGCCTGGGACAGAATGGGATCTACCTGGGTCATGAGGACATCGGCAGGGGGTGGTGGCGTATCAGAGGTAAGCAGGGCCTCCAGAGACTGGGAGCTTGAGAAGCACCCTTCTCCTGCTGACAAGGGCCCCTCTGTTGGGCTGAAGAGGGAGGTGCTATAGGTGTGTAAGGGGCCAGTAACCCCAGGATGCTGCACAGAGAAGCCAGAGAGACTACTTCGAGATAGCAGGGAATGGGAAGATGTGAGGTTGAGCCCATCTAACAGCTCTAGATCTTCATTTAGGGTGGGAGGGACACCCCCTGCATAGCTGCTGACTGAGGCTGGTATTTCCTCCTCCGCCAGCACCTCAGACTCTGGCCTCACGGGGGACAGCCGGGTGCTGACAGTGCTTGCATTTGAACTGCTTCGTGGACGGAAGGTGGTCCACACATCAGCTTCCTCGCGGTTTCGAGAGCAAGGGCTGCCTGACCACTTGGTAAAGTGGCCAACAGGGCTTGTTGGAGTGGCACCTTCAGGTGGAGCTGGCAGCACAGCTGGTTTCTTCTTGGGGGCCTTACTGCGGCCCCGGAGCAGCTTGCTGCTGCTATCCATGGAGGCTGCCCGGCGGCGGGGCGCCTTGCCACTCTTGCCTCCCTCGGGGTTCAGCATCCACCAAGAACTCTTGCCAGTGGCCTCGTTGTGAACCTTGATGAACTTGCTGTGCAGGGACAGGTTGTGGCGGATCGAGTTCTGGAGGGGGCAGAGGTAGCAGGAAAGGGGCATGAAGTGTGTGTAGGGGAGGTCAGTGGCCAGCAGTCTCTCTAAATGGATGCTGGGACACAGCAGGGGTGCTCCTGGAGACTCAAAGTCAAATCCAGGGGGAAAACTGGCAGAGGCAGGGTTGGGGATGAGGGCGGGGTATAAGGGGGAGGAAACCATACACAGTTCCCACGCTAAGACAAGCTGCTCAGCCTCTGTTCCAGCACAGGGGCCCAGGAGAGACAAAAGTAACAATCTACTGTGGAGGGCACAGCACCCACCCTGGAAAAGCTCCCAGCACTGTGCTCCTCCCAGATTTCTGGTGGTGGGGGGTGCCTGGGGCTGGTGGCCCAGCAAAAACTAGGTTCAGGTGGGAAAAAGCATTCCACAGGTCCACCCCTTTCCTTGAGTGCAGGCTTGGGTGGCGTTTACAGGACAGTAGTGTAACACCAGCCAGGGATTGACTCAACCTGTCCTGAGCCAGTTCTCTGAATAGGCTGAAGGGCTGGAACTTCAGCACGGCTGGTGCTCCACTCCCCACAGGGCATTTGGGCCACTCAGCTCTCCATAGGACTTGAAGATTTCTTTTTTCCCAAATCCCAGCCTTATTTCTTATTTCTCCAAATCTGTAACAAACACCCTCAACTACATTCAGCCCAGGCTTCTCACTGTGCCTCAGATACACAGGCGCAAATCCTCACCTCCCTCCTTTTCCTAGGAAGGATCCCCCCTCTTTAAATTCTACCAGTTGGTCAAGACCAAGCTTAAGTACAACCTCTTTCATAAAGAGATTGCTTACTTTGGTAGCCAAATTTCTTGGATAGTATTTTTAATTTGTTCTACACAAATTTTACCCAATCCATATTGTGTGGTTTATGGTTTCATGTAATTAGTCTCATCAGGTGTAAGCACCAAGGGCACAGACAATGTCCTCCAGTCCCATAGCCCCTAACAGTGCCCCCTCAGAGAGCCAAGCTCACAGCACACACTTAATACATACTCCAGCTCACAGTACATAATATTTGTTGCCTCATTGGTGGGTGGTCCCCCGTGACAATGGTGAGGCTCCCCTTGAGGCTCTGTCAGCTCTTGAGTATTGGAAGCTATGTGTTTTCCCTTTCTCCCTCATTGGTGGCATTATGCTAGGGATACGTTTTTTTCCCAGAGGCCCAGGGAACCAAGATTGGCAGCTTCTGGAGCTCCAGTGCAGTTTATTTCTACTGGTTGCCGCAGGCTAGTTACACCACGGTTTTGGTTCCCGCCCCTGCCCCCACCTCCCTTCTCTTCCCTACCTCCTTCCCAGCTCCTTTCCCCCACTTTTCCTCGGGAATTTGTGTCTAAGCTCTTTAACCTTAGGGGCATTTGACCTCCCACATGGAGCTCTTTAGTTTAGAAACTTAGGAGGAGCAGAGAAGGGCTCAGAGCAACTAGGAGGCTGACGCTACGGATAGTCAGAAACCACTTATGTTTCTCTGACTGGTGCTCTAAGATAAGGAGACCCTTTGCCTGGGGAACCGTGCTTGAGCAGCTTCTTGTTTCAGGGCTCTTTAGCCAAAGAACTCCTTGTCTCCCTGGGACCCTGCAGTAATGGCGCTCCAACTACTCCAGCTGCGCTGATGTTTCTAGCTCCTTCAAGGAGTCACACCTGTCCATGCAGACTGGGCTCTTAGTAACTGAGGACTACAGTGACTTCTGGCAGCATGATTTCCCCTCTTTGTCCGCTAACTCTGGGTCTATTGAGAAGGCCCATTCTGTTCCCTACTACTTAGTACCTGAGAGGCCCATTTGTTCATCCCTCTTCTTTAGGCCTTGGAACTAGCGAGTGGTACAGCCTCTCAAGTGGAGAGATG